ACGTGTTTCATGGTAGACATAGCTCCCCTCCCCTTCTCTTCTCTGTCTTGACACATCCAAAAGGCTGAAGGGCATGAACAAAGTCAGACAGAGGAACCTGAGTGACTTAAGGAGACTAACAAATTTGCAAAAATCATCCTCTTTATGAACATCAGACTGTTCTGTAAGAAAGATATAGCAAGAAAATATATCTTTCTACCTCAACTCTCTGAAAAGAAGGGCAGTCAGAAGACTTCAGGGTGAAAGCAAGCCAAGACATTCAACTTTCTGGAACTCCAAAGGGGGCTGGAAACAGAAATCACAGCTCTGCATTTCATAGTAGAAACATCTTCAGTATTCTTGACCATCTAACTAGAAGGTCTTTCTTTTGCCTTAAAAGTATCTGGTATATTTTTCTGAACCCTGCTACCATCCTTTGGAAAGATATTTACATGATTTTTTTTTTTTTTTTTTTTAAATCCAGTAGTTCCTATGGAACTGTATCTCAGACCTGATATCAGATCATATTGACCTTTATTTAAAAACACACAGAAAAATTACTTCATATGTTAGGGGATAAAAAGGGAAGTAGGTGGACACTGTTGAACTTTCACTGACTTCAGAGAAAATGACAATATGCAGAGATACCCTCATTCTCTGCTCTGGTTCAATTTGCTGAGAATAATTACATTCTCTTCCCTAGAGTAATTTTGCAGGCAAATGGAAGAAAGGTAAGTCTTTTCCAAAAAAGGAAACATTTAGAGTCTTGATGATATAAATGCCATTGAGAAAGTTTTCTACCTTTTTTCCCTTTCTCCATAAAGCAAAACATTTGAAGTTGAAAACGCACGAGTGTCAACATAGTTTACTCAAGCTGCAGGTCACCGACAGCTTTTGGAATACACTACCTGAGCTAAACTCACACCCAATTCACAATATGTTCAACTTGGGCTTTTTAGAAGCAGGGTAACATTTTTTATTGAGAACTTATTCACATTCCCCCCTTAATTCATTGCCCTCTACTAATAAACTTGTGGCACATCAGCTTATAAGTGGAGTAATATTAAAAAACAAAACAAAAAACCTCAAACAACAAAAACCCACAACCACACATATTTTGCCACAAATATGCCAAACATAAGGCAAATTCAGTTTCTGGATCTGTTATCAAGTAATATTTCACAAAGTCAAGAGATAAAATTTTGTCCCAAGAGTCAAAAAAAGAAGAAACAGATGCAGCTTGCAGTCTGGCACAGGGTACAGCACATGACAAAGTTTTTAAAGAAAAGCCTGTAGTTTCCTTTTTACCTCAGCAAGACAAAATGTACAAATAGCTATAATCCCCTCCCATTTGGGGGGCAATAAAAAAACCTGTTAATGCATATGGTATTATAAAATGGTTAATAGTAAAATGCACCCATTTGGTTTTCCCTAGAAATCTGAATTTTTGGACTTGGTGCCAAATCATCTACGTAATTTCTCAGTTCACTCATGTTAAGAGATGCTTCCTACCTTCCGAAATATCAATCTACTTCTCCAATTGAATAAATTTAATTCTTTCCCTCCCCACCCCCAACTAACATGAAACAGATGGAAAATACACTACATTACAAATTCTCAAAGAATTATTTTTTCCTTCAAATACCAATCACTGTGCTCCTTACATGCACACAACATATTGACTGAACTCCACTGTGAGAAAAAAATCAAAGTTAGACCTATTGGGAGTCCATTACAGTTACTGAGAACTTTATTGCTTTTTTGTGATTGGGATTTTTTTTCCAGAACAGATGTAATGCATGATGTTGGAAGCGGTGAATAGTCTAAGTACCTTTCTGGTATCTTTGCTAGGTACCTTTCCAAGACAATCCTTTAAAATTTACAGCTTCCACACCTAAGCCTAGTGCCACGCACCAGCAGACATAAGATCAACACTGAAGAGATCGTGTCCTTGCACATAAGCAAAAGAATCTGCAATTTAAATTTCAGAGGCTCATCTAGTTTTCTCACGTTTGTTTCACCCAGCTTTAAGATTTTGCTTTAAATGACAATCATGAGCTCTCTGGAATTTGGCGCTCTTATGTGTGTGTGTTGTCACAATAGATCACTGAGGTGGCACACCTATAGTGAGAAGTAATCAATGTACATCCAAAAAAAAGAATAATTCAGTTCAAAAGAACTGAAGAAAGAAAATATGGGAGCTCATTGTCCAGGTTAGGCGTTTCACTGCTCATGATTGTTTTCTCCCTTATTCCTCCCAGCATTACCAGTTACTTACACTCATGCAACAAAAAAAATCTTCTGGTAACACATCCACTGCAGAGTTGTGTATAAATCAAAATGTAATTGTTCTAGTATCTGAACTCAATAAATTTTACACACGGGAGAAAAGCTGTATGCAAAAGCAACACATTCTTCAATCACAGCCAGCCAATCAAGCTAGCATAACACAAATGGAAATCCCCACTGAGTAACAGGCTGAAGAGCTATTTGGAACTATAATGTGGCCATCTACTCCTACCTTTGCTACAACGCAGCCAGATAAGGTATTATTCTGTATCTTTAAAAGACCTTCCTATTGTGTTAAGTTAATTCAGCTGAGCTTTAGCAAGTGTGAGAGAGGAATCACAGACTTCCACCCATCCTGACAGAGCACAATGCTTTCTGCCATGAGTAGTCCCAAAGAAGTCACACAGCATGCCAGGTACAAAGTATTTGCAGAAGTGAGCCCTCAGACAGGGCTATAAAAGCTCTGGGTTAAGGAAGCACACGCCAACTTGCTTCTGCTTGATCTGTTACACAGCTTGACAGTAACAGATAGCCAGTTGCATTAGTGTCAATGTTCAGATAAGTTTCTCTCAATATCTGTCACAAAAAACAGACGCAGTATCAGTGTGTCAGCTGTATTATCGGTCACTACATAGTTGATCATACTTAATAACATCCTCGAGCACAGACACAGCTAACAAGTATCACAGACGGCAATTACTGTTGTGCGCCACAGTCACCCAGATTGTTCTGACTCGGAGCTGCCAACGGCACGCATTCAGCGAGTGCCTGCCTCCCACCTTTTCCCTCTCAAATACATTAACTTGCCTCAATATGGAGCCAGAGTTTGTTTTGAAACTCTTAACAGGATCACTGAAAGAAAAGAGGAAAAATACCATAAATGATCCTCTGGACTGTTTCCAGAGTAGTGTATTCTCTTAGCGATTGCTTTGGAAGCAAGCCAAAAATCGGAAGTGTTCTTGCAAATGAGCGCGCTACTATACTCAAATACAAGTTATCATTTAATTCTTTTGTCAACATCAGAACGGTTAGAAATTGAGAAGCCTGTTTAATAAACAGGTTACTTAAATTCCAGTTACAAAACACCAATTTCTTCTCTATTCATCCCCTCCACACTCACTCAGCTCCTGTTCCCCACCCCGTTCCCAACATACACTGGCTTTTTTTTTTTTTTTTGGGATACTTTCTCTCCTTTATTGAACGTCAAATAAAACTAGTATATTAATTATATCAACCATGACTAGGTCTGTAATCAAGAGCAAGTTAACTAAGAAGAGGAAAAAAGTCAGTCACTTCAAAAAAACATTCAAAAACCTCAAAACAGGTTTCTGTGGGACCCAGTGTTTAATATTTTTAACAGAGCTTTAATACAGTCTACTGAATGGTTTCATGGGGGTAGTTTTTCACATTACAATTACTCCTAATGAGATCACCCTCCACAGTGCATAAGCCCTCATCCCTTCCCAACAGAACAGTGAAAGATTTGTGCAAGCCTACAAAGGCCTCAGATCAACTCCACTCACTTCACCTTGTACCGAATTTGCTCGTAAAAATTCATCAAGAACAAAATTGTGTTTTTTCCTGGGGACAAATTATTAATAAAGAGACTCATTTACTTTGTTTTAGGGTACCCCTAATCCTCTACAGCTTTTGAAGTCCTCACACAGACATCTCAAACTCAGTGACTGCTGCCAGCTTTGATTTTGAGATTCTGTAAGTTTCTCCTCTTCACAGATTTCTGGGTTTTGTTTCCAGTTTTTGACTTACAACATTTCTCTATCAACAAATGTCTGCCTATCTCACAATAAAAATATGGTGATATATAACTCCTTGTGCTATCTTATGATAAAAATGATAGGCCTTGTGTTATATGCCCATGAAAATATCTATCTTCAAACAAACTGCCTATTCTCGTGATTTTACTGTAAACAAAGACAGTGAAATATCCTTTCTCATGCTAAGCAAAAATGTTTTATGTATGTAGCCCCGGTGACAGGAATGCTAAGGGTAAGTATCATTCTAAGAATATGGATAACCAAATCAGTCTGAATTAGAAAGTACAACTCAGTAGTCTCTGATTTGCTAGTATTTTAAACTAACCATTATGACCCCATGGCAAGCCAAAAGTTTAGAGTTAGTTTTACGCAAAAAGATACTGTAGAAAGGAAAACATACATTATTCTGAAAACTTGATATTCTGATTGAAAGATCTATCTTGTGTTTGAATTTTTTACACAATTGACACAAACTTCTAATTCAGCTTCTATTGTGTGTGTATTCTTCCCATTACTAACCACACCCTACTCTAAGTTTACTGCCTCGGTTTTATTTTCCTTAGAACTCTGTCACAGACCATGGGAAAGAAGAAATTTCCAAGATCATATTCAAGATAATTGATTCAATGTTCTGTGATAGGTATGACTTACTCAGCATTACCAAGAGGTACAAGGAACATCACCTTAACCAGTTTAATACATTAGTCCTGAATCTATATACTTCACACGACTTTAACTTTTCTTGCTGAAATTTAAAAAAGCACTATGCAGACACTGATTTACATATCCAGAAGGGCTGACTGCTTTAGATTATCCAGTGTGAAGTTTACAGATTGAGGATCTGAAAACTTTAAAAGCAGACTGACAACATACTTCTCTTGCAAAAAAAATACTAAAATAAGCTGGTAGAACATGATCTGTAATGTACATATTACAGCAAGTCGCATGTTTACTTACGTTCACACGTGTCTCCTTTTTGCTGGTATCCTGCTTTGCAGATACATTTTCCAATAGGCACTAACCATTCTCCCTCCGCGCTACAGTGCATCTTCGGCGAGTTCTCCGCCTCCTCCTCCGCACTGCTGACGCAAGTTCCTCGTACTTCAACTAAAGAGGAAAACTCTGAGCCAGTCACTGTGTCAGGAAAAATAGCTAAGTTCTCAATGATGGACCAGCACTTCTTGTAGTAGACTTTGACAGAGACCAAAGCAATGCAGGCCCCTACATCCTGAAATGCAAGATAGAATCCTTTTTTGGACAAAGGTCCAATTTCTCTCACCTCTGTGTTAAGTTTCATTTTTCTTTCCCCAAGATCACCCTGGGTAAAACTTTCATCTGCTGCAATAGTGTCTATTTTTACATATTGGTTTTCTCGGATATTCCTGCCAGTGTCGTAGTCTGTTTCATAATAATACAAGTTAAAAGTTTCTTTACAAGTCCCCAGAACTCCAGGAAGACTGTTACAATCCCTCAGAGTGAATTTCAGTTCTACAAAAATCCTTTGTGCATTGCTTTTTGCAATCCAGTTAGTCCGAAGCCAGTTGTTTTGGTTTGATTCCATCACCTGGCATACCTGGTATGTTCGTATAGGAGTGTAGTTTTCATCCAGTCCACTAATTTCTTCCCACTAAAACAATAACAAACAGTTAGTAATACAAAACAAGTATGCAACCAGATGTAACTACTGTGTATTTTAAAAGGCTACACACAACTCAAGTCTCCCTCCTTTATAATAGCATGGCTTCATAAAAAGTAGGTCATTGTCAAAATACTCTTAAGCACCCAAATGAAAAAAATACATATTAACACAGCCTCAGGCTCTCTCCTTCCATGTCTTTCCCACAGACAGACAACTTTTAAAAATCACTGTCATACCATGGGCACAGTTGTAACGGAGAAGCTTCAGAGAAGGCTGTTCAGTGTACCAAGCTCCCACATTTCATTAAGGTCATGACAGTTTTGGGTAAGCAAAGATCGAAAGGAGAGGGACAGTTTTGCTTCCAGAGCAATGTAAAATCAGTGAAGTCTTAGAAACTGAAATTGCCTAGTGTTACAGTACGTAAAACTTGAGTACATAAAACTTCTGGTTGAACTTTCAGTTGTACAGAAAGCATGGGACGGGACTGGGTTCTGAAACTTGTGAGTCAGATGATTTTCACTCCTATATGATGAAAGTGGCTTAGAGAGAAGGGACAAGAGAAAAGGGACAGAATTAAAAATCTGGAAGCAATGAAACATTTTGGTTTTCCCCTTTTTGTTCAGTCCACCTTCTGCTCTACTCACAAACTAAAGAAGATACGCAGGAGCTCCTCACCTCACATTTTGTTCAGTGGCTGCACCCACGTTAAATGGAGCAAATTTCATTTAGCTGGGAGTTTAAATTAACCATGAGATTACGTATGTAATTAAGAACAACCCACATGACTGAAAGTTCAATAGTCCAAAGCCTGTTTTTTGTTGTTGTTCCCTCTTTAAGGTACCAAATGTGTAACAAACTGGTAAGCCTGTAACAGCCCCATAGTCTTTAACAGCTTTTGGTGGCGTGGCAATTTGCACCTCCAGCAATGGCAAACCTTCCGCTGAAATCAACCAGGCGGATCTGCCCAGGTGTAACCAAAACAATATCTCTCTCACTGTTTTTCACATTTCTTGTAACATTTAATTCACTGCAGAAACTGCAGCTGTAATAAATTGGGGGGGGAGGGGGGGGGGGAGGGGTGGT